GGGAGCACAGTTAGTACCCAGGAAGGTTCGAATCTGACAGAGATAGTTAGATCCTGAGAAGAGCTGTGGACATTTCCACATCCCCCACACCCTTCCCCGCAGCCTTGACTCTGTCATGAACTGCAGTACTTTTCCTTGCTGTTCCAAGTCTGGACTCCTGCACAGCTGTGTTCCACCCCAGAGGTGACTGCATTTTAGTGGCAAGTGAGGCAATTCCCAGGTATCCACATAGGTCTTGGTTGTCAGAAGTGCTATGTACTCATAGTTCCCATTCACTCCAGCTGGAGTGGCAGGTGCTTAGCACGTCTAACAATCAAACCCATAGAAAGCAAAAGTCTTCTCTCAGATCCGTAGGGTAGACGTTGCCTGCACTAACATAGGCGGCAGCGAGGAGTTCCACATGGCTTGGCAAGGATAAAAGAGCACAGCAGAAATCTTTCATGTACAGCAGAAGAGAATGTTACCGATACAATAGTTTATCATGTTAGTTTAACATTTCGTGCATGGTCCATTGGGATGAAAGGCTTCTTGCACAGACAAAATACTATGTACACACACACACACACACACACACACACACACTTTGCTCTCGTACAGTTGCCCTTGAGTTTGATTCAGGGAAACTGATAGAATCCTAGGGTTGGAAGAGACCTCAGGATGTTATTGAGTCCAGCCCCCTGACCAAAACAGGACCAAGCCCAACTCAATCATCCCAGCCAGGACTTTGTCAAGCCGGGATTTAAAAACCCCTAGGGATGGAGATTCCACTCCCTCCCTAGGGAAATAGTTTTTCCTAACATGCAACCTAGACCTCCCCCACTGTAACTTGAGAACATCGCTCCTCGTTCTGCCATCTGTCACCACTGAGAACAGCCTGGCTCCATCCTCATTGGAACCCTCTTTCAGGTAGTTGAAATCCCCCCTCACTCTTCTCTTCTGCAGATGAAATAAGCCCAAATCCCTCAGCCTCTCCTCGTAGGTCATGTGCTCCAACCCCCTCATCATTTTTATTGCCCTCCACTGGACTCTTGCCAATGCCTCCACATCCTTACTGTAAGAGGGGGCCCAGAGTTGGACACAATGTGCCAGATGTGGCCTCACCAGTGCCAAATAAAGGAGACTAATCACTTCTCTAGATCTGCTGGCAATGCTCCTCGTAATGCACCCTAATATGCCGTTAACTTTCTTGACTACAAGGGCACACTGTTGACTCATATGCAGCTTCTCATCCACTGTCATCCCTCAGTCTTTTTCTGCTGAACTGCTGCTTAGCCCGTTGGTCCCCAGCCTATAACAGTGCTTGGGACTGTTCTGTCTCAAGTGCAGGACTCTGCTCTCACCCTTGTTGAACCTTGTCAGATTTCTTTTGGCCCAATCCTCCAATTTGTCCAAGTCACTCTGGATCCTATCCCCACCCTCCAGCATGTCTACCTCTCCCCTTAGCTTAGTGTCATCTGCCAACTTGCTGAGGGTGCAATCCATCGCCTCATCCAAGTAATTAACAAAGATGTTGAACAAAACCGGCCCTAGAACCAACAGTTGGGACACTCCACTTGAAACTGACCACCAGCCAGACATCGAGCTGTTGATCACTACCCATTGATCCTGACAATCTAGCCAGCTTTCTGTCCACCTGACAGTTCATTTATCCAACCCATCCATCCTTAACTTGCTGGCAAGAATACTGTGGGAGACCGTATCAAAAGCTTTGCTAAAGTCAAGATATTTCACTCACTTCCCAACCCAAACAGAGCATTACAGAGGGAACAAGCAGCAAAAGGAATATCCTAAAACTGCATTTTGCATTAGTGAGTTCACCCAACCTCTACAGTCCACAGTGTTGATTTGTTCCAGGTCGATTTCACATGGGCTCATTCAAACCCTGGGGCTATGTCTAGACTGCAAGCCTCTTTCGAAAGAGAGCGTCTAGACTGCAAGCAGTACTTTCGAAAAAGCAAGCCGCTTTTTCGAAAGAGAGCACCCAGACAGTCTGGATGCTCTCTTTTGAAAAAGCCCTGTTTGCATTCAAGAATGCCTTTTTTCAAAAGAGCACTTTCAAAAAAAGGTGTTCTTCCTCGTGAAATGAGGAGTACCGCTGTCGAAAGAAAAGCCGCGTTCTTTTGATTTAATTTCGAAAGAACACGGCTGTAGTCTAGACGCAGGTGAAGTTTTTTCGAAAAAAGGCTGCTTTTTTCAAAAAAAACCCCTGCAGTTTAGACACAGCCTGGGATGCCAGCTGTGTTTCTATTGGTTAGGAAGGACAATAACCAGAAAAAGATACATTTTTACAGGTGATAGTCTAGCCTGTACTTGAATTAACCAGTCTGGACAGGGAGCTGTGCAGAGTGAGAGTTACTGTGGCGTTGACAGGGAGATGTCGGGAAGCTGGCAAGCCAACCATTCAGGTTTCTGGGAATTCGTACAAAGAAACTCCACCCGATGCTGTACCGCGCTGGTGCACAGGAAGGTTGTCATGTCTCTGCAAAACTATCGTCTCTTGGTAACAGGTACTGAGCTTACAAAGGGGACAGGACAGAAAGCAAAGGCTCAGTGATCAGGAAATGCCATTAATTTCTGCACAGGAGGAAGCTGACATTGATTACAGACCGCAAGCATCTTGTTAAAATCAGTGGGCCAAAAAGAAGCGTTTCATCTTTTTAGAGGCTGTTTAGATTGCAGATATGGCTTCTGATGCTTCACGTCTCCTTGCCTTATCATCAAGTATAAACCGTCAGATACCATCTGCAATGCTGATGCATGAGCTGGGTAACCAATAGGGATATTTTAAAAACCCAGAACCACCATATGTCATTTTCTTTCTTCTTTTCTGTTGTTTTGGTTTGTTTTTGAAGACTGTCCCCCATGAAGCAGTTACAGCGGAGACTGAAAATAAGCTCAAGTTAAACCACAAATGCATCTGTAAGATGTCTGTGAATGATTTATTGTATGTACTGTCAGGGCACAGAGAAGTGATTTGACCAAATCTCAGAAAACTAGGACTGGAAGGGACCTCGAGAGGTCATCGAGTCCAGTCCCCTGCCCTCGTGGCAGGACCCAGTACTATCTAGACCATCCCTGATAGACATTTATCCAACCTACTCTTAAATATCTCCACAGATGGGGATTCCACAACCTCCCTGGGCAATTTATTCCAGTGTCTGACCACCCTGTCAGTTAGGAACTTTTTCCTAATGTCCAACCTAAACCTCCCTTGCTGCAGTTTAAGCCCATTGCTTCTTGTCCTATCCTCAAAGGCCAAGATGAACAAGTTTTCTCCCTCCTCCTTATGACACCCTTTTAGATACCTGAAAACGGCTATCATGTCCCCCCTCAGTCTTCTCTTTTCTAAACTAAACAAACCCAATTCCTTCAGCCTTCCCTCATAGCTCATGTTCTCTAGACCTTTAATCATTCTTGTTGCTCTTCTCTGGACTGTCTCCAATTTCTCCACATCCTTCTTGAAGTGTGGTGCCCAGAACTGGACACAATACTCCAATTGAGGCCTAAACAGTGCAGAGTAGAGCGGAAGAATGACTTCTCGTGTCTTGCTCACAACACACCTTGCTCACAACACACGTCTTTGCTCACAAAGACCAGGGTGTTTGGGATGGTGGGGGACAGGCCTCAACAGCGCTGGGCTCACTCCCAGTTTGTCTAATGTTACTGAAAGCGCATGCTTCAGGGTGTTCTCTGGTCAACCTGCAGGGGTCAGGAAGGGAGCTGTCCCTCTCAGTGTATTATGGGAAGGTAGAGAGTTGGGTGATGCATACCAACAAGACCTGCCACTGGAAGCAGAGTCCAGGGCAGAGAATCAGAGAATCAATTTTGTCCAAATCGAAACGGCTCTCATAACCCGGCAGCACCAATGAATTTCCCAAGCTCCAGCAAGTACAGCTGTCCAGATGTTGTCCCCAGCCCAATGCTCAGTGAGCGGAGCTCTGGCAGACTTTTCTGGCTGTCCTCTGCACAGGGGAGTACTAGAGGAAGAACTCTCGCCCTCTCCACTCTTCAAACACAAGCTGCTTCAGCCATAGCTTGGTCCGGGATATATCTGATCCCTATTTGCAATTGCCAGGCACAGAAATGTATTTGAAATTAGTTGGCTGATTTATTTAATCTCTCAAAGATAAAACAAAGAGGAAATGTGCTTTGCATGGCAAATTCCGGACAACTTCAGTGGTGCATTCGATATTCTGGGTTCCACCTCTAATCCCTCTTTCCCGTTTGACAACGCCTTCCTCTGCCCCCTGCAAAGTGACCAGTCCCCCGTATTTTAAAGGGGCAGGCTCAACTTTCCAGCCTGCAATTCCAAGGCTGTTACCCAAAGGCTGGGAGGGTCAAAGCCTCAAGTTGGAAAGGGATGGGATTCGGTTAGGCTGCACTAAACGAGGGGCCATGCTCTGCTCTATTATCAAGAGTCTGGCCAAAGAGAGATGACAAATACTGACCGGAAGTGGGACTTGAAGTGGTCAGTGAACTTTTTGTGATTTTTTTGCTGAAACTAGGGATTAAAAAACACCCAGAAGAGTTAACCAGTTAAAGGTGGGGGGGGCTGGTTCTCCTGGCCAGACTCTCTGATTAACTGGTTGCCCATTAAGCATGTTGGTAAGGCACATGTTTACCAGGTAACGGGTTAACCATTTAATCTTTAACACCCCTACCTAAAATCAAAAGTTTTGGTGGGAACGTTCCCATTCCAGTGAAACTGCTACCAGAGAGGTTTCTTGGGTCCAGAATAGAAGGTCCAGTCAAAATAAGAGTGAGGGGGAGGGAGAGGATTTGGCCCTGCACAACATGGAAGTGTGTGGAATATGACTAAGGGGCTACATGTATGACCCACTTAAATTTTCGAACATACAGTACATGGGGCAGAGTAAAGGTTATGGTGCCATGTAGAATGCTAAACTGCCGTGCCAATAGGATTTAGCCCAACAATGTGGAGATATGTTTGCCGATGAGCTCACGGTAGTTTACTGATCTGCTCTTAATTTGTTGCACAGGCCCTGCAGTAAACGTCAGCTGCAACATTTTCATCAACAGCTTTGGTTCTATTGCGGAAACGACAATGGTAAGTAACATTAAGGCTAGCTATTCAACTTGTTCGGTCACATTCTGCTTCCAGTGCATGTGGCAGGTTTCCAATGGGATGTTTGCTGCTCTTCTGCTCAAGGAGACTGTTGCTACTGGGTTATATTTGAGGGGTGGCTAAATTAACGGCTTGAATGTACAAGACTTGTAGCATTTCACTGTCCAAAGATCTTGTGCCGTTTAGTGATAGAGATGTAGCCGTGTTAGTCTGGGGTAGCTGAAGCAAAATGCAGGACAATGTAGCACTTTAAAGACTAACAAGATGGTTTATTAGATGATGAGCTTTCGTGGGCCAGACCCACCTTTACACACTGATGGGCTGGGTCCATGTAGGTCTCATGTAAGGGAGTCGAGGGGCCTGAGGCAAAGCCAATGAAAAGACTCCCTTTGATTTCAATGGACATTGGACCAAGCTGTAACCGAGTTTAAGAGAGTTTTAATTTATACCCATTCACACATTAGCACTGTCTTTTGTTTGTGAGTTAATGGTATTAGAGGTGATAATTGGGGAAACTATCTTGGTAATGGGTGAGATAGTTCAAGTGTTTGTTGAGTCCTTTTTGGAAAGTGTCGAATTTTAACATGAATGACAGTTCAGAGGATTCCCTTTCAAGTGCAGATGTAAAAGGTCTTTGTAGCAGAATGCAGGTGGTTAAGTCATTGAGAGAGTGTCCTTTCTGGTTAAAGTGGCAAGAAACTGTTTTCTCTTTGTGACGTTTCATGAGCTTTCGTGGGCACAGCCCACTTCTTCAGACGACCAGAGTTTTGAGAGACACCCAACATTTCCCAAAGTTCAAGAGCATTTAGATCTGGGATTTTGAATTAGCCCAGTATAGAGTGAAGGGGGAGCAACTCAAATCTAGATCCAGTCTTTCTCAGATTCTCCAGAATTGGAGAGGGTTTTCACTGCTTTGGAGCCAGAGTCTGCATTTAAAAAAAAAAAAAAAAAAAAAACAACCCACAGCCTTAAAATTCATTTAATCAAAAACCAACATTAGCAAGATTTTGCAAGCTCAGACCATCTTCAGGGGGAATTAACGAACATTGCTAATAGCAGTATCCAATTTGTAAGGCGCTAGAAGGAGACAATCATGAGGAAAGGAGATAATGGTCTTGAGATGGAGCAATTAAAGATCAGCTGCGACATAATCAGTGAACAGCGAACCAAAGCTCTGGAGGTACAATGCCGTCCTCCCGTATTAATTAAAGATAATTCAGAAATATGATGTTCAATTACTTTTTGTAAGTCTCTCTTTGTAGAAAGATGTTGATTGAAGTATGTAAAACTCCCCCCTTCCAATTGTCCTATGCATTTAGAACAGGATGTTCTGGGTTTTACACACAGCATTTTACACGGGTGTGACTTCCATTGCTTTCTATGGGAGTTACTCTAGATTTACACCAGAAATTGGAGGCGAATCAGGTGCTATCTCTATACTTAGTTAAAACACAGCAGAATTGAAAGCTCAGTATTCTTTTAACGCAATGCATATTTAACTCTATTAACAGGCACACACTGGCATTGAGTATATTTGGACTAAATTCTTGAGGAAATAAAATCCTTAGATGAAGGGCAGCACTTGTCAATAATATTTCAACCCCATGACAGTGCAGTGGGTCTAAACTCACCACCTTTGTTTGCAGATTAATTTGCATAAATAAATTACAAATACCGAGATTCTTCAATTTGTTCATGACTTGGAGAATGGAACTGTGACTAGTGTTGCCATTTTATTGGATAACTTCATTGGGCGGGATGAGCAATAAGCAAATCAGGACGGACCGTTCCTCCATAAAATTCAACGGAGCCGAACTGTTGACTGGCATGGGAGATGTGGCAAGCTTACGGTGTACTTCTCTGTGCAATACACAGAAAGACATCATGCAATACAGCCGGCTTTCATCATATACCTGTTATTTATTGCTCTCCATGGATATGCTGTAAAATGGGTGCGTTGTAAGCCTAGCCCGACAAAGAGAAACACATTGCAGATCTCGCGAATACACTGCAGGGATCTGCTCTGTTCTGTAGTGTCCACCATTTTGGAATCCATTCCTCTGAAGAAAAAAATAATCACTTGGAAAGCATAGGTTTGCTGATTCTTCTCAAGCAGGCATCACGAAACAGAATTGTAGCCCGGGAAATCAGCCATTAGAATCCCCCCTCTACCCGCACTCCTCCAGCTATTTTTTTTTTAATGTCGCAGAGATTAGCGAGGTGGCACGAATGGCATTGTCTCCAAATCGGAGCGGTGGATTTTGAGATGTCAAAACACAACTTCATTCGGAATCAGAACCAAAGCAGAACAGTCCAAAGGTCGCCACAAAGGAAAACGCCACTCAAACTTTCGCTTCTGGACAGCCGGCGTGTTTCATTTTACACCAGCCAAAATGCATTCTTTCAGCCCTCTGTGTAATATAATCCAGAACACCAAAATAACCCTCTGGAAAGCAAAGTGGCTTCAAAACACAAAAATCAGAATGTTTTGGTCTGAAGATGTTGAAACGGAACATTTTGGACACTAGCTGTAGTTATTGCTTCCTGATTTTCTTCTTCAACTAAATTCTGTCAAAATGAACCCGATGGTGAAGCCTTTAAGTTCTGACAGAACTGCATATTCCAGCAGAGTGTGGTTCCAACCAAATTTCTCCAGCCAGCCCTACTCAAAACAACTACAGAGAACTGCTTGTCACTGGGGTAACTCTAAGATGGCTGCCCCATGAGTGTAGGAGAGCTTTCCGCAGACTTGCAACTCAAGGCCCAGCACCCTTCTAAAGGGACAATGTAAATGACTCAAGGACAGCATGGCTACGGTGGATTAGCATTTTTTCCATGAAAAAGTGCCAAAGAAAATCATTTTCATTTCATTCAAAATTGTTCACTTTCACCACTGAAAGAGAAAATTGAAAATTTCTTCCCATTTCTTTTTAATCCCTTTTTCACACGAGAAACGTGTGCAGACAGGCACAGATGCTGAGGGAGGGAGGGGAGTTCAAAAATGGAAGAAAGTATCGATTATGAGGTTTTTTTAAAAATAACTTTTCCAGAAGGGAAAAAAATACATAAACAAGAATTCCCTTCACTGTGTTAAAACAAAAAATATATTTTAAAAATTCAACATTTTTATTTTGATTTTTTTTTTCAAAACCCGAACATTTGGTAGGTGTTTTTCATGGAAACAATATTCTATTTTTGATTTCACCCCATTTTTCAATGAAAATGAGTTGACCAGCTCTGGATCCAGCTCTCAGGTAAGAAACTCAATTCTTTTGCTGGAGTAGTGGAGATTCAAGCTTTTAGCCCTGAAGGTCACAGGTTCAAATCTCACTGTTAACTCACCCTGGCCTGGTTACAAGCAACATTGCAGAATCACTGCCCAAATGAAACAAGAAATTCAGTGCTCAAAAGACACTCTCCCTAATGTCTCCTGGATGGCTGAACGACTATAGCATGTTGTAAGAAGTAAGCATATTGCTGGTACCCAGGGAAGGCACAACCACAGAGATTTATCAGTTCACTTAATTACAGAGATCTCTAAAACATGTTTTGGGACTTTTCGTTCACACATAAGCCATTGCTGTTGACATTTAAAGATGCTAGCGACGAACTCTGTAGCACACAAATCTGTGGAGATTATTATTGTCAACATGCATGTGGCTAATGAGATCACAAGTTCACCGATTAGGGCACCAAAGCAGGAGGAGCAAAGGGAGGAGAAGAAGAGATACATGGAAATGAGTAACAAGGAAGAGAAGAGGGCATGTCTACGCAGCAGGGCTAAAGCCAAAATAAGCTACACAACTTCAGCTACGTCAATTGCATAGCTGAAGTCAAAATATTATTTCAGCTTTTGGCTCTATTGACACAACAGGACATCCAAGAAAAAGCATTCTCTCTCCGACTTTCCTTACTCCTTGTAAGACAAGCGTTACAGGAGTTGGAGTAAGAAGTCTTCCAGCTCGCCATTATTTTGACATTATGTCAAAATAACTGCTTATAGCATAGACGCAGACTGACGTTATTCTGAAATAACACTGCTGTGTAGATGTGCCCACATAAAGAAGTTCTCAAACCCAAGTTTCCATTTATTAGAAAAGTGGGTGGCAAAAAGGAAGGTAACAAAGATACAGAGCATTTCAACAGCCATCAACTCTCCATGAACTCTCTTAAAGGGGATTCAAAGAATGCAAAAGGCAAGAAGTAGAGAGGTGAAATGTTCGGGGAGGTTAGAAGAAAGCGTAGAAGGAAATTAACATATGGAATGGACTCCCAAAGACAGAACCAAGATTAAGGGCATGATCCTTCAAGGTCAGTAGTCAGTGAGGGCTCTCAGCACCATGCAGAATGGTCCCCAATTAAATATAGACACAAACACAGAAAGACTAAGTAACCATATGCAATGACCTGTGACTGATGGGACACGGTTATAGCGTGCAGCTTGGCCTTTGGATCACAGCTCCATCAAGATCCAGACAAAGGACAAAACAACCAGCAATTGGGAACACTGAGAACTAAGCAAGCACTTTGAGGAGCAAAAGCATGGCAGGGCACAGCAGCCAGACAAAGAAGAATGGATGGGTCTAGATGGCCTCCTTCTTCTCTGGAACACTGCCGTGGAGTTCTGCATTGAACAAACAAGGAAATGCATCCTTTCCTCCAGCTCATTTTTATTCCTGAATGTGGTTTTGGGGGTGGGGGGGGGAGTTGCCACATTTGAAGGTGGAGGAATCTAAATACAAGAGCAAATATCTCATTCAAAATGAATAACCAAACTCCTCATGAACTGAGTCTTCTAGTGAAGTGGGCCAAGTTTAGCAGTGAGTTGGAATGAGAGTTCGAGGGAAAGATCATGCGCTGACATTTGGGATTCTTAATCTCAGCAGCACCCTTTGCATATATCTTTTTTCCAGTTGTTTAAAGGAATTACACTAAGTGTTCACCCCATTTGAAAAGGGCAAACTAAATAGAACCTCGTAGCC